GAAGAAGAAGAAGAAGAAGAAGAAGAAGAAGAAGAAGAAGAAGAAGAAGAAGAAGAAGAAGAGCATAGTGCTTGTGTTGAGACAGATACGAGATGGGATGGAGATGTTGAGGGTTCTGAGGTGTCTGGTGAGAGGCATGGGTAAGGGATGAGATGGATTGGATATGGACTAGATATGGTGGGTTGTGTGTATTTTTCTCTGATGTTTTGCTGACCATGTACCTCGTTGACCGAGGGGTTAGTAAGGTTGCTCACGATGTGTAATGTGTTAGTATAGTGAATAGTCTGCCAAGTTACTGAATGCATACACAAACTTTGGATCTTCATTGGTTACGGTAGTTGAATGGTCTTCCTAGCTGCAACACCGATGTTGAAACCTTTCAAAAGCGATGTAGGATTTGTAGATATAATTCATGATGATGGATAAATTCTCGGGACCAAAAGCATCCTTTCGAACAGAAATAGTGTGTTGGTGTAGCGAATATACGATTGAGGAGATACTCTGGATATTTCCCAGATTTTATGCTAGTTATTGTAGGATAATTCGGTTGGATTTCCGTAGAGTGATCTACAATTCAAGCCCCACGTGTTGGAACAATAAGGTAATGGCATGCTGAGCTTCTCTTGGTAGTATAGGATATAATGCAGGTGTTGTTTCTTTTAAGTTTGGTAGTTGCTGTTTTGACAGCTCCCTTCTGGTTGTGCTGCGTCATCTTATTGAAGAATCCATACAACCGATGAAAACATGCACCCGAGTTACTAGGCTGAAGAGGCTGGTCGGAACATGACAAGAAAAACAACAAGATGAAGACAATATAAATGTTTACTGCACATATGGGGGCTTGGGCGTGGTAGACTGGACCTAGTCATGCACTACTATGCTTTGGGGCCAGGAGAGAGGCATTTACAGCCCATCCCTGACTCAAGAGCCCACATCCATGGATGCGGATACCCCGGACTCGTCTCCACTAGGTAGAGAAGCCCATAACCATGGATGCGGATAGCCGCGACCCGCCTTCACAAGGCAGAAGACATGCACGTCAGATGGATCTGCATTAGTCCAAGGCTCGCATGCTGTCTGAACACTTGGGTTCTATGATATTCTTGTTTCGTGCTACATATTAGGTTGCTGTCTGATTTACTGCTTCCTCAACTTATCCAAAGCTACCATGACACCCTCACTCATATTGTCATCAGGTTGTTTCCTCTTCGCTGGCGTTGCCACTGCTGGTTGGGCCTCGTTGGCCCCCGACACGTGACCAATCTCCAGCTCACGCATTGCCTGCTCGTCGTCTTCATTTATATCTTCGGCAAGACGGTGATCAGACCGCTTGTCGGCATCCGATGCAGACGTTGCGAAAGGAGCAGATTTCTCTAGCTCCCTTGCAAGAGGTACGGCGTCGTCGACCCTTTGACGTGCTGTGTCACCGGCAACTGCCGCACTTTGTGCCTGGTCCTCACCTTCTGTCACGGTTGGTGGGTTGTTGGCTTCCTGGACAAGGCCACCCCGCCTTGCAGCCTTTTGCACCCTAAACGGTTCTCGAACGGCATTGCACCATCGCTGGACTTTCTTGTCACCCCAGCCTGCAATCAAGCCGATTTCCTCAGGGGCAGCGTTGATTGCAGTGCGGATGCTTCCAAAGTTGGAGACTAGGCCTACAGCGTCTGTTTTGTTGATGCTGCGGGGCACAGTGATGAAGTCAACCATGTTCTCAGCGTATGAGCCTGCCTGCTGAGCGCGGATACTGGTCGGGGCTGCATTCTCAAACGTCTTGAAGAGCTCGAGATAGCGGCCGGCCTCTTGGGCGCTCCAGCACAGCATGACGGTGACGTTATTGACCAGCGACGTCTTTGACAGCTCTCGCAGGGGGTCTTCATGGTTTTCGATGTCGACCATGGTCAGCAGGATGCGCAGCGTGTACTGGCCCTTGAGATCGCGGATGCGGTTGTAGATGTACTCGGGATGCAGTCGGTGGTACTTTAGGGACAGGAACAGGGCACATGTGGTGGCGCCGACGACATAGTCGGGGGCGATGTCTGAATACTCCCAGGCAACGGCGCGCACATTGTTCAGGATGGGATTGCCCTTTTGGCGGGGCGAGACCAAGATGGAGCTGGGCGCAGATCGTGAGGGCAGTGCCTGGGGCTTCGGCTGCTGGACCTTGGGCACGTTGCTAGGCGCGGGCGGATTGGCAGCCCCGGGGCGGGAGGTTTGCGCAGCAGCATGTGCATTTGCTGGGGGGGCCGGGCCAGAGCCATGAGCACGCGGCCGATTGTCGTGCATGTTGGCCAGGACGAAAGGGCAGCACACAAGCAGCAGCAGCAGCAGCAGCAACAGCAGCGCAGCTACAGCTGCGACATGGGGTTGTGAGCCTGTGCCTGGATCCAAGTGTTTCGCAAACGGGCGATGGGAGGGTGACACACCCTAGCACCTGGACGCGGTTTTGGATCGCGGCCGCGTGAACCGGGCGTGGACGGTCACGTGCGGGCTCACAGCGCAGCGCTCAGCCCAAACCGCCGGTGCACCCCATCGTCTCCTTCGCATCTTCACATCTCCCGCCGACCAACGACCCTCCTTGACCCACCGCCACCACCACCGCCAACACCCCCAACCCCATCACGCCCTGCACATCGCCGCCATCTCTCGCCCATCGCTGCCGCCCCCGCCCTCGCATGCGCTTTACTGAGTAGAGCGCCCTCCCTTGCTGCCGCGGTCGACCCGCGCAGAGGCCGCCAAGCGCTTTCAACCAGCCCGACCTCCCGCCTTCACTCTCGCTCTCCTTCACCCGCGCACCCTCTCCGCCGCCCGCCTGCGCCGCCGAGCCCTCGTCCCACGCCCGACCCCCGTGAAGCGGCCTCTATGTCGGATCACAGCGCCAAACGCCAACGCCTGGACTCGATCGGAAGATTCTCACCCGCCAGCCCGCCCTTTGACGTCGCTGCCAAGGCGAGCGGCCAGACGACAAAGACGCTCCCCCATCCGCGCACGCCCACCTCACCACCCTACTCCTCGATGAATTCGCAATCCAATGGAGGCTTTTCCACGACAAACACCACGACGTCGTCGGACCGCTCCCCGCAATCCTCAGTCCTCATGGCCCACTCGCTCTCTCAGTCGGCCGCATCGGCATCCAGCCTGCACCCCTTTCCCACCCCCGCCAGCACTGCCGGCTTCCTGTCCAGCGCCAATGTCGATAGCGACGGCGATGCGACGATGGAAGAGAGTGCAGACGATGACACCCTTCGCTCGCGCTGTCACAGGCTGTCCAACCACAACCGGCAAGCCCAGTCACCCTACACGCCCGACGGCAGACTCAAGGCCGCCCAGGGAATTAGCGGCTCCCAATTATTCAAACTCAACACAGACCGGATCGAAAAGTCGAGGCCGCACGCCTCGCAAAATCTGATCCGCCTGTACAGGCTCGAGCCACTCGCCAGCTCCGTAGCCCGCAACGACCCGGTAACAGGCGAGAAGATTAACAAGCTTCGCAAGTCCTACGAGGGTCACATCAAGCAGATGCAGATTGCCGGCAAGCCAAAAGCAACAAAAATGGATGGCGTGTTTCGCGATCTGTTGATGCTGCCAGAGG